AACGAGGTAGGATTTTATTCTTCATTAGTGTATGCTAGACCTAGGATATCTTGATTGTTAAGATTGAAAAAAAAATAACAACTAGCTTTACTTTCCTTAAAAAATCTGTTACTTTCAACCAAACAAAAATTTGACTAAAATTTCAAAAACTCATTCAATATGTTATATCTTTCCTAGATTCAATTAAGTACGAAAAAAATATTTGAGTACTCAAAGTTCCTAAGGGAACACTATTTATCGAATTTAAATTTTAATAACCCTTATAAATTTAACCGGATCTACTCCAAGCAATGATCTCCTTTCGATCCTACCATCATCTAATAAAAGCCTATGTATTTTAGGTTTGACACTATCTTCCCCCGATACTAATCACCTAATGATCCTACCATCATGTTGCAAAACAAGAGCTCATGTGGAACTTTTTTTTCCCTAGCATATCAATAGTGAAACATAAAATTTTTTAAGATTGCTTAACATAAGGGTCAAAAGTATGATAAACTCATCTAAAATATAATGCTTAAAGGGTTATCCCCATTTTCTTCACTTTACGAAAAGGAGAGATTTTATACACTAACCGCATTAAAATGATATGATCTCGTCTAATGAGGTAGGATTTTAGTCTTCATTAGTGTATGCTAAACATAAGATATCTTGATTATTAAGATTAAAAACAAAATGCAACTAGCTTTAGTTTCCTTCAAAAATCGTTACTTTCAAGCAAATAAAAATCGACTAAAGTTTCAAAAGCTCATTCCTTATGTTATATCTTTTCTAGATTCACAAAAAAAAAAAAAAAAAGTACTCAATGTTCCTAAGGGAACACTATTTATCGAATTTAAATTTTATTTCCTAGCTTTGGGACATAATCTTAGAGGTCCAACTTTGAGGTCTCGAACATTTCATAAGTTAAAAAAAAAAAAAAAAAAACTTCAAATCTCCTTTCCTATTTAATGAGATATATGTTTTTTTTTATTTCGCAACTCACTTAATATAAATTAACTTTAACTAAAAAAATTAATTAAATATTGCAACCGATATGGTAACTAAAACTGAAAAAATGTTGTGAATCATTCAAAATTTCTAACCTCCACTCAATATCTATATATTAACCTTAATTAATTCTCATTTCATTCCATTAAAAAATATCTTTAAAAATATAACTATATTTGCATCCATTATCATGGCATCTAGAAATAATTTTTTCTCTTTGATTGCTGCACTTTTTGCGATTGGAGTAATGTTAAACTCTCCACAACTCACAAATGCTTTTTTGAATCCATCACATTATCCCGAACCGACTCCGGGATATTTTAAGATTTTGGATCAATGTCAAAAGCCTCTACCAACTTCAATTCCATACCTTGATGGCAATATTTAGGGACAAGCCTATTCCCGATAATTGTTGTCCCGAAGTCACAAAATTTTCAAAAGTTTGCTACCATGCCTTAGGTTTGTTCATTGCCACTACACCGGGTTTCACATGGAGTGTGCCAAAGTTTTTTGGACGAGACTCAAAAGCTTTATGATCATTATCTTCAAGTAGTTGCATCACCTTCACAACCTTCTTAGTAAAATTGTTAGGGGTGCATTTCTACTCTATATTTCTCATATATAATTTTGTATTTTTTTTTTTTGGACCAACAATACATAAATAAAATATTTAATTAACTACAAATACCTAAACCTTTTGTTTATCTTTCCAATACTTGAAATTTTTATCTCATTTACAACATATATTGCAACACTAAAGGCACTATTAAGTTTTTAAAAACTATTGATATTAATTTATATTGAATGACTATTTGTTTTCTAATAAAACTCTTTAAGCATTTCTAGTTGATAAGGTTATAAGTCATCATCATCTATGTCGTTTTCTTTAATTTCAATTTAAACTTTTTAAAACTTGATGAAAGTTTGGACAAATTAAACTACTCAATTATTATGACAACACAACCTTTAACAATTTTGCTTACTTTTAAACTTGGTATATTAGCTAAAGAAAAAAAAATGCTTACCGATTTAAAAAAGAAAACGTGACCCAAATTGAAAATATTTTTCAAAATTCGGTAAAATTATGACTAAATTCATCATTAATGACCGCCTTTGTAATTCGACAAGTTAATTTTTTTTCGGACCGAACAAAAACTCTTAAACTATTATTTATCATCGACTGAACATGATTTCATAAAAATGGATCTATTTATAGTTATCGTTATTTAGGTTATTCATGGATAATAGATTTTGTTTTAATTTGATCTATTTGGTTCGGTTTGAAATTTCAAAACCAACTCAAATTAAGCAATTCTCCCCACTATATTGCAAAATGAAACATTTTAAATATGTTTTTTTTTTAATGTGTGGATCTCTTGCAATTGATGTAAGTACAACTTTATTTATTTATTTATTTTTTTTTAATTTAGATTGTGTTATAGTTTATCATTCAGTATTAAGACAGTAGAAGAATTTCCTTGTGTAATTCATTAATTCTAGATGGTGCTATCAACTTCAATTTATATGTGCATTGGGTGCAATATAAGTTTCATACATATTATTTAATGTATATAAAATTAATATTACTAATTAGTAAATTTTCTTTCAATGATCTGTTTCTTAAATTTTAGCATTTGATGATTTTTATGGTACAAAGTTTTGGCCTTGTTTCAAAACTTAATATAGAAAAAATAATTCTTAATTATTTTAATTTAAGACAAAAAAATTTTGTGCTCTGTACTTTTCAAGGTATCTTAAGCCCATTTTTTGTGCATTGAGACTATATCCTTCACATGTCGGATATCCTTCATGTTTTAGATATTATATAGGCCATCAACAATTGGATTAGTACATGCATGAGTAAATTTTTTGCTCATGTCCTTCTATAAGATTCGGATATGAATGATATTTTGGAGAGAATAAGACCATATAGCACTTAGACTAAGCCTCCAAAGGCGAGAAAAGGTTTAATATGTAAGTTCAAGACAATTTGATCTTTCTTGTGTGTAATTTACGGTCGGGAAAATAACCGCAAACAACTTGTCCAACAGATCAAATATTCAAGAACTTTATTCTTGATGAATTAACCATAATATTATTTTGTGGTAGATTCTTTATCTTAATGTATTCCATAATTTCAAAAAAATAGATCTTTATTCTATCTCATATCCTTACTTGATTATTCATGTTATAAAAGAAAAAAAATTAAGAGTAATTATATATTTTGACCATTTAATACATTATCAATAGAAACATAGTTGGAAGTTAGTGGGTCCAAACTAGCTTCTTAACTCTTTGCTTTAAGGGATTGTAAATTGAAAAGCTCTGTCTAAACAACTTCATTCATCTAAAAGAGAAGGGAAAGGGCCTATGTATTTTAATAACCCTTATAAATTTAACAACATCTACTCCTAGCAATGATCTCAATTCCGAACCACTTTGTGATGACCCTAGTATATATCGTCGTCTAGTCGGTGTTTGCTCTATCCGACAATCACTCGACCGGACATTAGCTACGATGTTCATGTTTTGAGTCGGTTCATGCACCAACCACGCCAACCGCACCTAGATGCTACCCTTCGAGTGATTCGATATCTCAAAAGTGTGCCCGGACAAGGCATTTTCTTTCACTCCGATAACTCTTTATCTCTAACAAGTTATTGTGAGGTTGATTAGGTTGGTTGTCCCGTTACTCGTCGATCGACCACTCGGCTATATTGTATTTCTAGGTGCTTCCCCGATATCCCGGTGATCCAAGAAACGATCTATTGTCTCTCGCTCCATAACCGAAGCTAAATATTGTGCCATGGTCAACACTCGTTAGTAAGATAGTCCGGCTTGTTCGTCTTTCTCTTGATTTAGGTGTTCCTCATCCTCATCCGATTCTATTATTCCGTGACAACCAGTCGCTCTTCATATTGCTTGCTAATCTAGTGTTTCATGAGCGCACCAAACATATAGAGATTGATCGTTACTTCATTCGCCAACACATTCAATCAAAACTACTCTTATCTCGATCTGTTTCGTCTCAACATCGGCTAGTCGACATTTTCACCAAAGCACTTGGTCGGGATCGTTTTTGGATTTGCTAAGCAAGTTGGGCATCTTCAATTTTCATTCTCCGACTTGAAGAGGAGTATTAAGGTTATTATTTCCCTATTCAATTAATTCATGCTTTAGGAAAATATATTGTACCAATATGATTATAATACCATATAATTTTCCTTTAGTGCTAGGATCTCTTTCCTTTCTTGATACTTTGTGAACCAGATTGTATGCTATACAAAATATGAAAAACTTTACTACACTTCAATTTCTTCACTTTTTGTTTTTGTATTCAAATCCTAGTTGTTGTGTGCTATTCTTCTAAAATTGGCAAATCTTTTGGAAGAGGGCCCAATCCCAATGAGTCGTTGATGGAGCAAGAGAAAACAAGTAGGGGCTTGTCGTAGAAAGGAACTTTTACGCACATTTTGAGTCAGGAGTTATTTTTGGAAATGCTTGAAGATTGTAGGGGAATTCTGGGTTTAAAATGCAGAAAATGCAAGTGGAATACACGTGTGAAATGGGACCCTTAATCAGTTAAGTTGGTTAGCTTACGTGGAAGTTAGTTTGTTGAAGAGGAAAACTATCCTAAGTGGCAATCTGTTAGAGGGAAAAACAGATACTGTTAAAATTAACTCTAAGGAGAACGTGAGGAGCAGACTAGGAATTTGGGGATTTCTTTCTGAAATTTCTATTTTCTTCTCTCTGAACTTTTCTCTGTTTTCCTCTGCATTCTTGTAATTCTTAGAATCTTGTAATTGATTTTTTTTACATACTTCAATTGTTCTTGCATTTAATTGAATAAACATTGATATTCCTTTGAACTGTAATAGAACTATTCAATTCATTTCATTGTTCTTAGTTTTCGGAATATTCACACTGTTGTGAGAAGGATGGATTTGGGTGGGGTCTAGGCCCGTATGAATTAAAAAAGGACTTCCTCCTTTTCCTGCGTCAAACGCTTTATGAGTGCATGGTTCGGGGTCTTTACCTGTACCCGAGCCTGCTGTCCAGGTTCATTGTTTAGCAACGATGGCTACCGCTACTACAATGGATGTCTGTTAGCCTAGTACGGGGGGTTTTCCTCCACATGCAGGGGACGTTTCAACTTCGAGGCGTCTTGGTAAGGAGATGGTTATTGGTCACTCTACTGCCCAATGGCCAACTAGTGTTGTGGGTCCTTCTGCGGTTCTGCAGCCAAATACTACTCTTGTTCCTTCACTAGAAAGACTTCACCTAAGGGTGGGAGTTTTTGGAGATTGCTCCATCTGGTGGAGCAGGGAAGAAGATGAAGCTATTCATCTCATTGGGCAAGCTTCGTTGCTTCCTAGAGACCTACAAATTTAGATGGTCATTTTTCTGGCTAACAACATGAAGAGAGGGATGCAATTGTTTTTGGCCATGAGTATTCTTTCTTCATTTTGAGTTTCATCCATTTAGCACTAGTTCGTGGCTATTCAGGGAGAAGGAGGGGAAGATGTTCTCCCTTCAAATGGAGATGGAAGGTAGGCTTAATGAGGTTAATGTCTCCTTTGTTAGAGCCCTTGCTGTGACCAGTGGGTAGCAATTGCTCCAAAGCTTGTGTTGGCGAAAAAATTGAAGGAGATTGTTATGTCCATCTCTTCTAAAGTGGAAGAGATGGGGGCTAGTTTGGTTGCTATGGCGTAGATTTAGAGAGGATAAACTCTTTACAGCAAATTGAAGATCGTCTCAAGGAGTTCTGTAATAAATTTAGAGGAAATTCCAAGCTGGCAATGAGAGATTGTTGGAGATCATGGAAGATACCTATTTCTTCAACAAGGATAGGGGTATAAACGCTAACCTCTCTGGGTTCTTCGATGGAAATCTCGTCTCCAGTTTTGATGGAAAGTATCCTTATAGGGCTGCTGCTGCTGCTAGAGAGATACTGCTAAATTCACTTAATCATTTTGTTATTCTCACTATTTGATCTTTTGAAAAATTACTAATATGCCTGTTTTAATTCATGTTTATTAAATTTTAAAAATAAAATAGCGTGAATAACAATTTTTATACTGAATTTAGCACTACCCTTTACTTAAAATGACTAAAATTGAAAAGAGAAGAAAAAAAGGATCTATTATACCTTGGAGATAGGAAAGTAAAGAAAAGAGGATTAGGGTGGATCGCATTTTCATTTTAATTTTTAAATTTCCCTTTATTTATTATTTTTGTAAAAGCAATAATGAAAAAACATTCGATGCTTACATTTTAAAAAAATATTTTAAATGCTATTTAGCTACTCAACTTTCAATCCTTAAATACAAAAACTCTCTCATCAATTGTACTGCAAAAATTATGCTGCTTACTTCTTTTCTTCTCCCTTATTTTTCGTGTGTCCTCCTGGATTAATTTTCCTAGCCAACCTTAACATATGAACTGAAAAAAATCCGACTGCCATTCTCTAATTGTACTCAGGATAACAAACCAGGGATTGTAGGAGAGCTGCAAAGTAAATAAAAAATAAAAAGCATAAACATGCAGCGTTACCCAAGCACCAACTACCAGTGTCCAAGCTAAGATTAAGATGAGATAAAAGAAAAAAGAAAAAAAAATCCAATCCTTTGTTAATGTTGAGCAAGGCTAACTAGCAAAGGAAACAAGAAGACAGCTTCCAGCCGATGATCTTGTTAAACTTTGAAAATTAAAATTCCAGATAAGAGAGAACATTGCTTTTAGAATCAGGATCCACATGCCAAACTATGACTTCATCATAGTTGCAAAGACGTTGTAAAGCCATTAAGCCAGCCATACATCAGGATTAAATTATAACGTACATTCAAATTATGCATTCTTATAGATTGAAAGTTTAACATTTCAACCAAAATTACATGCATCTTCTACAACAAGGCAAAAAGCTGTCTTGGCAAAAATTGGCTACGAATTGTGGGGTACTGTAAAAATGGCACCTGCACAAAGGAATGCATATAGTGCTTTTTGCATCACTTCTTAGAAATTGGTTTGAATATGTTTGCCTTGTAGTATTTGAGTTCCGTTATGCTTTCCCTGATATCATCCAAGGCTCTATGTTTGTTTTCCTTCTGAGGGGCTTTCTTCTGATCTGTACAAGGGTGATTGATAACAGATATTTCAGTATTGATGCATGGTGTCAACAGGTGATGGCTCTTCTATTTATTGATTTTCGGAATGTCAACTAAAAAATACAGGTTAAACAAATGTTGACTAATGGCAATGTCTTTGCCTTTACTTCGTTCTCCCTATCTGGTTTAACATTTGCAGGGAAGGATGGGTAGAAGGAGAAAGACATCCTCTACCAAGAGTCCCACAAGGGGTAATCTAGAAGCGGGAACCCCACTGGCTTCCCAAAATTAAGACGCAATCCGAAGAAAAAAGATGGTGAGGCACCTCAAACACATGCACTGGACGTGCAGGATGGATGCATTTACCATGCATCCACTTGCACCAATGGTTTCGTGGTCTCTCTAAGAATGCTACAAAAACAAAATTTTAGGATCTATGTTGTAATGTAAGATATTTACCTCTAGGATACCAGCGCATACACAAAGCCTTGACACTGCTAACATCAACAACAACATGAGAGAAGAGACTAGCCAAATCTGGCATGTATTTCTGCCAAAGAAAAAAAAAACTGATGATAACAAAAAATAAAGTTACACAGGTAAAATGACAGATATTAAAGAAAATTTGGGACTCACCAAGGTGGAACAGAAAACGACAGAAGACACAGAAACAAGGTGTCACAGCAACAATTGGGATAATAATCAGTGGTGGATCTACTATTAGCTTGGGGGGTGGGGGCAATGGCGCCCTAAAATTTGAAATTTATATTATTTTACTCATTTTAAAAGTCATCCTTGATTTCTTTATTTTGGAACCCCCTCTTATGAAATCCTAGTTCCACCCCTGGTAACAAGGACCAACCATATAAAAAAAATACAAGCATCATTTAATCATGGACTTCATTCATTAGATACCCAAGTTTGTCTAAACGAAAAGAAAGGCCATAAAGGAATCATCTTACATGCTAAACCATGTTAAGATCTACGTAGACTGCATGAACACAATCGGAATGCTGGATACACATTTACTTTGCAAATAAAAAATATTCCAAGAACGTCACATTTTTTGGCGACTAGATCCCATTTAAAAAAATTGTGGGAATCAGATTAGTCTCTTCCCCTAACGACAAATTCTAAGTTTGCCAAAATTGCAGGGGGCAGATCAGGTTTGATAGTTTTTGCGGGAAAAATAGTAAGTGGGAAGCTTTTATTGTTCCAAAATTTTATAGGATCTACAATTTCTCAAAATTCCTCAAATCAACAGAACATTAGGCTTGTGTCTTTGCAACTTGATCTCACCAGTCAAATTCACTTCAAAATTAGCATTTAGCAGACAAAATTACACTTATTCTCATAATTTAGAGAGGTACTTATTGATGCTTATTACTAAGAGACAAAATCTAGCACAACATAGTAGATCACTAATCGTCACGTAGGTTTTTTAGTATAAGGAAGACATTAGACATATGAGATCAGGATATCGAATGACACTTTATGGCTGAATATTTTGACACACATGATCTACATGAGGATCAGCCTCGCTATTAACAATTTAATGCAGCTTATTGTCATATTAAGGCAAATCAATAGTTAATCACTTGAGCTCAAGAACCAGGCAATTTCCAAGGGCATTGCACTGTTATGGAGGAAGAAATATCTTCTCATGTGAAAGTAGAAAAATAGTTCATTGGCTATGTGAAGTGCAACTGCCTAGGTTTGTAAATTATGTAACTGCATTGAAATTTTGGCATGCCTTTAAGATCTCAAGCCAAAAACTGATCGCAAATATTATCCGCACCTTAACATGCCAACAATTGGTGTTCACAAACACTCATATCATGAAACAAATAAAGTTTATAGATAGAAACTTATTCTAAAAAGCAAAATATTATAGAAGTTCAAATACAACAGCGTTTCTTTTTTCCAGATTATGGTGACTAGAAAAAAGAATGTAGTTGTCAAATACCTTTAAAAACATAAAATCCACATATACTGAATTTCCTGCTAAAAGAGGTGGGTATGTACCAACATGTCTCTTGACAAATTCTACAACCTGCAATATTCAAGCACTGACGTTATGTTTAATTCTACAGACACGAATAAAGCCTTTAACAAGAATGCCGTGATATAAAAGTTAAGTTACCTGAATAAGAACAAGAGGGTTAAGCCAACACATTAAAATTTGTGTGATTAAATATTAGATAGAGTCAAAATTGAAGGAAGACAAACATGATTAGATGTAAGCAATAGAAAGATTAATTGTTAGATAAGGATAACTATGAGATGTTTTTCAAATAGAAGACAATTTACCTGCGTTGAAAAGGAAAAGGAAAACAAGAAAATGCATAAAATGAGACAGAGAAACAGGTACAAGAATTTCATGGGCACTCAATAACCAAGGTCATATGTTTAATTAATGTACATGTAAATAACATAAATATTAATCAAATGACAATATTCCAAATCATGAAGATCCATTTGAAGGTCAAGACTCGAGATGTAGTGAAAGAGAAGTTAATAGGCACAATTGTTCAATACTCTCCATGGATTGCTTTCTGAAATACAAACCAATCGCATAATTGTAAAATAAACATCAAAAGAGATTGCCAACTGTACAATACATGTTAAAATAAAAAAACGCCCTGCACTTAATAAAGTTCTTCCATACCTGCTTTTCAGCTTCTCTTTCACTAAGTTTACTTTGGAGCACCTTCTTTGTCAAACCTAGAATGATTCGCTTGTTAGTCAAGACAACTATTAAATATAATTTGAAATCATTGTGTCTGACGTTTTCTTATCATCAGCTGTTCTTACCACTAGCTGCATGATGTCTTTGACACCATTCTCCCATCTGATCTAAACACTCTTTACATTGATGGATAACCAAATCAGGACCCTAAGAGTGTACATTAAAAAATTACAAGATTAGGAGTGATCATACATGTATGACACTTGTTACTTCAGAGGAACGCATGACCACGGTTAAGTGCAGCATGAGTAGGAGTAAATGATACAGCTGATTCATACATCTGTATATTAAACGCTTCAATATATTTTATGCTTCACATGATCCAAGCTTTCTTGAATATGATTACTCCATTACCATGTAATAAAAACCACAAATAAGATAAATAAGCAGAATAATGAAATTTGATCATTGTCAGAAATAACACTTTGCATTCTGCTTAGCTTTTCTGTAACTCAGCTCACAAGGAAAATTACAGCCAAAGCAATTACAAAAGCTAAATTTCAGGCCTTATGACTGGGAAAATTATGTTTTAAAAATGAAGACATCCTGTGTCATTTAGTTACCATGTATATAATCCAATGTTTCAGAGTTCTGATATCAAGAACACGGTTTATTTGCTCTGTTCGATCAAATTTAAACAGCTAAATAAGCAAAGGGGAAAAATGAGTCCTGGTTGAGCACATCTCTATAGCTTTGTCTAAGACCATCAAGGAGTCTATGAAATAAGGAAAGGTGGATGATAGGTGCTCAAAGTTAATAAAGAGGTTACATGAGAACTAAATCATCCGTGCAATATTTGAAACAAGAAAATTTCTAGACATTTTGGCCATCGTGTATCCTTCATGATTTTCTCCAATACACTTTCAAATTCAATTATCTCTTGGAGACCTTTTTGACAAAGGATCATTAGAAAAGTTGAAGATCAATAAGAAGGATAAGGAGAAAAAAGGCTTGGCGTAATTTTTGGGAAAGGTGAAGGATTAATGTAGTTTGAGCTCAGTTTCTGGTTGCTTGATGAGCAGTAGTTTGTGGAGGTGTAACCATAAGATGTCTGGTGGAGAAATGAAAGTTTGACAACAGGATAACAGATAAAAATTACTATTTCCCAAAATTTGTGCATGTGAAAGTGCAGATCAGTCCAAACTCCAAACCATTCCATCTAAACTCCTTGAGGGCTGAAAAGAAGTGAGGATCTCAACAAACGAAGTACATTCCTCCACTTCCTTCTAATAAAAATATTGAATATATTAAAACAAAAAATTGAAGGTTCCAGTAAAAAATACTCCTACTCAAATCATAAAATCCAGAAATAACGGCATTATGAAGTCAGGAAACACTGCTCTACATAGGTCCCTAACTACCAACATTCACTATTTCCCAAACAAATCAGAAGTTCAAAACCCTGACATCCACAACTCATTCTCCTACCATTCTGGGTTTTAAATTGCCTATTTTACAACTTCCGATTAATAGCAAAAACAGCAAATCACCTCCATAGAATAAAAAACTAAAATACAATCTGCAATAAAACAAAATTACAAATCAAAGCCACAATTCAAGTACAACAGAAATGTGCTTTAAGTTACACAATACCTCCACTGACTTGGTCAAATTGCCATCAGTTATTATACAAGCAATCTCCAGTATTCTATCAACTTCAGTATTCAAACCTGCATCCGAAACAACTAAAACAATGAGCAAAAACGCAGCGCAAAGCACATACAACACTCAAAACCTTCGAATGCTCACAAACTTACCGGTCATTTCCAAGTCAATCCACACAAGTGGCATCTTATATCCTTCTGAACCCGTAACGATATTTTCCTCATTCTGTTTTTCTTTTTTCCCACTAAATTACAGTTCTTCCCTTTATTCTTGCACTTCCCTGACCAAGGAAGCAAAAAGCATTTTTTATTAAAAATGATTTTAACTCCATCTTCACCCATAGCAAAAGCTTTTTGCCTTTTTTTCATTAATCGAATAACTATCAAAAAAATTAAATCAAAATTAACACTTCAAGAAAATAAACCATCCGGCGAACAGAAACCTAAGCGTAACAGTGTTCGACTGAGTAAAAAGGAGTTGAGGAGAGATGCAAAATTGTGAGCAGTACCTGTGTTGTTAGTTGTGGAAGCTGATTTAGGTTTTGAAGAAGCAGACGACGAGGGAGCGGATTTTAGTCGATCGTCGTCGGCGTCGATTTCCAGTAGCGAGAATGCATTGGAGAGGAAGTTCATGTTTAATGCTAATTTTTTTCTGCAACTTCTAATTTGAAAGTCGGGTTCTTTCAAAGGAAGTTGTTTTGAGGTAAAGCAAGTCAAGTTGGGTCGGGTTTTAAGTCCATCTAGCCCCATTCAGGAAGTTATCGTTTCGGTTTCTTTTATCTTTTCTTTTTCCTTTTTCTACTGTATTTATAGTATGTTCTTTTTTGCCGAAGAAACATGAAAAATTGACCCCACGCCGTGCTACGATACCAAACACATCAGTATCTACGGTCGACTCACGACTAGTATGTTGGGTAACATTACGAGATGACTAATTGGTTTCTAAATATTTTGAGTTTTTCTATCACATAAAAATTTATATTTAACTTTTAATTTTTTTTAAGTCGAATATTAAACTTTTTTAATCAGTAATTGAGTCCAATCTTCTTATTGACCAACCTCTAATTATATTTTTCACATATAGTTCTATGAAATAAGAATACGGTGGCACTCTCTTTCAAAATAAAAGTAAAATGACCAAAAAAATCCTAAATTCAAATTAAAAATAAAAAAATAAAAACTTTATTCTTCTACTGTAATCAACTCAATCAAAGCTCAAACTATTGTAAACTCATCATTTATTGCAAACCCATTAAAAGAAATGCTTTTATCGATCATTCCTTCTCTACTCACTAGAAGGGATTAATATCAATGATGTTTTTTTAATGTTTTTTTGTTTTATACTAATCGTGTCTTTTTTTTCATTTATTCAATTATCTTATTTTTATTTACGTCTTAATTTGGTTATTTTATCTAAATTTTTAATTAACAAGGTTAATTTTTGATGACATACGAACATGATATTGACACGTGATAATTTTTTTCAAAAAACAAAAATCTCAAAATATCCTTATTTTTCTCTACTTTTGCTTATGTTTTTATGTTATTTGTTTTTTAATTTGGATTTGAAATAAATTTTCATATTAAATTTCTAAAATAAAAAAATAAATTGTTTCTTACTATATATATGAAAAAAAAATCTTTTTTGATATGGATTCGAGAGAAAAAATTTTTGAAATGAAATTAATTATTTATTTCTATACATAAATACAGATAAAAAGAATGGTATTTTAAGAATAAGGTGTGATCATTTATTCAAAACTAATAATCTTGAAACCCTCTTGGATTAGTTATATGGAACTCACCACTCACAAATTAACTAGTGCATTTTAAGAATTTTTTTTATATATTTTCTTGAATTTGAATAGAAAAAAATAACATGAAAAATAAAATTACTCCCCACATAAACCAACACGTCGAATATCATAAAGTAAATCACTATATCAATAACCACTTTTTTATTGTTTATTTTTGAATTGGAAAGTGATATTATTGCAAGCGTTACGAATTTTATCTATAAAAAAAAAAAAATCCTTGCATGCCTGAAAAGAAAAAACGAAAAAGTTGACAAAGAAGAATTGCAAGGGGGTAAAACGGTAAAAGAGAATGACAAGATCCTAGGGAAAGGAATTACGTGCGGATGAGATAGAATCAGATGCGGAACAACATAAATGAGAGCACTTTACCTTTTAATTTAAAAAAGGGCCCACGTGGACTAACTCCTCTGCCTATTTATTTTCCAAATTGCCGAGTCAGATCAAAGCAAAAACATACACAGAGAAAGCCAGCCAGCCATCAAATATCATCCTCTATTATTTTTAGCATTTCCTACTATTTTTATTTTTTTCTCTGTCTCTCTCCCTGATATTTTCCTTCTCTCCAAACAAAATGGCCGATCAGCTCACTGATGACCAGATCTCCGAGTTCAAGGAAGCTTTCAGCCTCTTCGATAAGGACGGCGATGGTCTCTTATCTCAGATCTCTCTTTTATCTGTTAATTTTTTTTCAGCTCTTTATTTCTCAGATCTAATTCTGTTTCCGTTGTTATTTTATTGATTTCTTGCCATTTTTCTGTTCATTAGCTTGATCTGTGGCTGTTCTGCGTTTTATTTATGTCGAATGGTCGTTTGGCTATTTTTTTTTCAAATTTCATTTCCTTGAGGATCTGTTGTGAAATGTGCTAGGGTTTGATTGCGATCTGTGTTTTTTTAGATTTTATATCATTTCTGAGGTTATTTTGGGTTCAGGTCGGGTTGACCTGATTGTTTGTTTCTTTTCGAGGGAAATGATGGATCTGGAAATTGATTTTTTTTTTTTGTTATTTGCTGATTTCAAGGAATAAAGTGGTGGGAAATCATGTAGGTTAAGAAATTGTGTTAGGAATGGGATTATGATCTGTTAATTTCTTGCTAAGCAGTTTTTTTGTTCGAGAAATGTGGATAGATTAAGCTTTAGAAAACATGCATTGGCAAATCGTAGTCAGAATTGTAGGTATTGTGTTTTATGATTAAACTTGAGGTTCAAAGGTTGCTATGATAGAGTAGGAGATTGTAACAGACAAATTAGTGGTGGTTACTTTTTCAGATGGGCCGGTGATCCAAGAATTATAGCATCTGGAAGAATAATTGCTACATAATGTTTGGATGTGCTGAGAATGCTTGTCATACTTTGTTAGGCATGTCATCTAAGTTTTGTGCTGAGTCTATATGGTTATGGAATTAAAATGTTGCTATATTTCTTTTTTAGTAATAAATGGTTGGAACTTGCTCTGCTTTCATCTTCTATTTTTGTTTATCTTGCAGATAATTCTAGGATTCTTGGTTTTCGTTTCAATTCACCATTTTTCACTTTCTGTGTGGAGGATATGCACATCAACTTCCACCATTTTATTTTGAATGATTCATGGATTTTTGTTTCTATCATACTGCCTGCAATTTGTGGATGATTGCCTATTTTGTTCCTTTTGTCTCACATCCACATCCGAATTCTGGACTTCTTTTGAATCATATTCATTATTCGAAATTGATAAGGTGTAGTGCTAGCAATATAATGATTGTTATTTGTTTTATATCAGGCTGCATCACTACTAAGGAGCTTGGGACCGTGATGCGCTCATTGGGCCAAAACCCAACTGAGGCAGAACTCCAGGACATGATAAACGAGGTCGATGCTGATGGAAATGGTACCATTGACTTCCCTGAGTTCCTCAACCTCATGGCCCGCAAGATGAAGGATACTGATTCTGAGGAGGAGCTCAAGGAAGCTTTTAGAGTTTTTGATAAGGACCAGAATGGCTTCATTTCTGCCGCTGAGCTGCGCCATGTCATGACAAATCTTGGGGAGAAGCTTACAGATGAGGAAGTTGATGAGATGATCCGTGAGGCTGATGTCGACGGCGATGGCCAGATCAACTATGAAGAATTTGTCAAAGTCATGATGGCCAAGTGAGGTTCACTCACCCAAAACCCAAAATCACATGCATAAAAACAAAAAAGGGAAACAGGGCAGATAAGTTTGATGAGATTTCTATTTCCCCACTAGGACATCTTCATTTGGTGTTATTAGCTTCAGTTGGGTTGTCTGTTCTGTTCTGTTTGCATTTTTTTGTGGCACTTTTCCTTAATTTCTACTTGCTTGCTTCCTTAATTTCTACTTGTCTGCTCTGTTTCTTGTTCAGTAGCTTGGCTTGTTAGTATCTTTCATTGATGTTTGACATTTTCTATATTTGGTATTATGAACCTAGAACAATTGGGAGAATTGGATGTTTTTGCTTATGTATGACTAATTTTGTTAATATTCCAAACTTCAGTGTCATTTTTTTTTTTATGCATTGTTTTCGTGATTTGTGTGAAAATTTTCCGTGCTGTATTGTCTTTGGCCATCGTTTCATGCAACAACCTGCTGTAGCTGTAAGACTTGCTATTGGTCATCAATTAAATTTAACAGAAATAACTGCGATGTCAGTGACCCAATTTAGCTGCATATGATAGGACGCTTTGGTTCTGATTCTTTAATTGCATCGCCTCTCTCTCCTTCCTATCTGAAGAAACAAACTTTAGGAGTCCAGATGCCGATCTCTTAAACCAGGATTGGACAACCGCACTAGCTGTTCAATCAGCAAAGAATAATTATCTGAATTTCCTCTTTAACTGAGCCTAAAAGGTGGCATGAATGTGGAGTTACTCTGCTATCCATTTGCTGTATTTGGCATTTTCTGGAGGTATTTTTTCTATTTCAAACTAATTTTACAATTAGCCCCTTGAATTTTCTTTAATCTTGTGATGGGGGAAGGTTTCTAGAGTCTTTGACACTGGCAGCCGCTGTCCTACTTGAACTAGTTGCCTGGGCTCCGCCAATAGCTATTATCGTATGCAACATTATTCTCTGGGCTCACAGTTGGGCTACATACGAAATGCATTCATCCTTTCTATTTCTAAATTCTTGTTCTTAGATTATTAAGCAGATTTTCACGTACAAACTCTCTACCTCTGAAGTCAGGACTCAAAAGACACTAGTCACATCTAAGAGGATATTTTTGGTTCCCATTAGCAGAATTAGGAATAACTTGGTCTAATCCCTGGCCCTACCTTTTGTGGTTGGTCTTTTTTTTGTTCCGTCTAGTCTCTTTAGACAAGCATCGTATTCGTTTTGGAAAGATCCCAACGTTATTTCTGTTTGGGGATTTGCTTCTGATTTGGGCTACGTGGTGATGTATTTTGCTTTGCGTAGGCATTTGAATGAAAAAGGTTGAGCTTTGGTTGGGTGGTGGTGGTGGAATATTTAGTACACATGTTTTTCTGGTCCGCCTAAAATGACCCATAAAAAGTGTTCAAAGTGAGAGTATGACTGTCCACAACAACTCGGCCTCGAGGGGGAAGAGATCATATTTCGAATCTTCTAAGGTCATTTATGGAATTCTATAAGCATCATTTCCTTATTTTTTCCCCCCTTTCTTTTTGGTCTCTACAAAAAGTTTTTATCTATCAAAATTTCCCCTACTTAAAATTTTGGTATGTTCTTTTCATCCAATTTCTTTTAATTTTTAATCCCAAAATTATCTAATTTTTATCTCTACAAGTACATAAAATGGTAAAAGGAACAGGCTAGTTATGGATTCTAATGTAATTTGCTTTCGAAATTAAACTGTAGCGGGCTGTTGGGCTTGAAGCCCAAACCTTTGCTGCTCTGACGGGCTCATGCAGGATTTAGGGCTTTGAGGAGTTAAACTCGAACTAATAAGTAGTAGACAAAATCAAATAATAATAATAATAATAATAATATTCGTTGTGCAGTCATCATTAGCCTTTCTTTGATTTTACTGTTGAACTGAACTTTTTTAATGGAATACAGACTTGAACTTGGATTCTTTTCTTTTCGATCAATCACTGACGTGCAAATAGATGATAAGAGCCGTGGTTTTTCTTCTATACCTTGCTTGCTATGTTTTCTTCTTCAGCTAAATTAACAAATACGTGAAAATGGTTAGACCAATAAAAGTAGATGATGTTTTCAAAGATGGAACTTATTAGCAATGTAGAGGTAATTAGATGCTTTTCTTCACCTTTCTCCAAAAGAAGCTGATAATTTGGATTCGTTTTATGTACAGAAAAAGAAAATTGGGAGGTGAGGAGAGGAGGGAAATTAAACATGACTCAAAGGAAGAGAAAGATAAAGGTGGAAAGATCTTTCATAATTACGAGAAAAAAATGTTGTAATGTCTTATAAGAAAGAATATTCTTTTTTGGTTTTAATTTTCCCTTGATGAATAATTAAGAGAGACTCAGAGAGCATTCTAGAATGCTCGTTTCTCTAATGTTTTAACACTAAAATCATTCTCCATGTATATAAATATATATCATTACAACTAGCTAGTAGTCAATAGGATCTCAGGTGTCGCATGCTTACAATTCCATGTGCATTTTAGTGGCTATCGTAGATTATTATTATTAGATGAATCAAAATGAGAAAATTTTGTGAAATAATAACGTCTTCTTCGATTATTTTTTCTGAAAGGACTTTCTTTGATTTCACTACATGTTGTTCAGATAATCTTATTCAAATGAACTTGAATTCTCAATCTCTATTTTCTTGCAAACAATTCACATTCTTTTTCCTCAATAGTCTAAAAAGTGTCATAATTATTTGTTCCCCTTTTTATGTGTGTGTGTAAAAGGGATATATGGAGTAATTCAACGAAATTAACTATGTTTTCTACGCAATTAAAATTAAAGAAGATAATAATTTGAATTGGTTTTAAACCGTACAGGAAAAGAAGAATGACAAGTGAAGAGAGGAAGCCAACTAGGAAGGACTCCACCTCCAAGAAAAAGAAAGGTAAAGGTAAGAGAGAAACGGTTGGAGAATGCTTGATCCTCTAAATCAAGTTTAATCTCGTCATGGATCGATCTTCCAGTTTTCTTTCATGTTGTTGATCACCTCATACTCTCTACTAATGCATACAAGTAACAAAAATAAATAAATAAATCTATCACATTCGATCTAGGGATGGAAGGGAACTATTTATGGGATATGTTGCTTGATAGGTATATTTTATATCTATATATGCAACTTCTACAAGAAAACTTTTATATGTATCGAAGGTGTTGTTCCACCTTTTCTATTTCATGTACCTTTTTCTTGGGTATATAAGAATGTAGCTATGACCTAATAATCTAGAGTTATAGATCAAAAGATAGTGTTCATGAATGTGACCTATTCGTATATTTTTCTGTCAACAACTTTATAATTAATTGTTTCCGCCAACAAGGATGTGAAATTGCGGTCAACAACAGAGAAGAAATCCGATATGCGGGCTAGCATATTGCTTCTGTTAATAATTATTAGTATTTTACACGTGGTATATAAAATATATAAAATTATTTTTATTTTATATTATTAGTTTACTAAAATATATCAAATTAATTTTTTTTTAATTTTGTATTTAACTAATTATTCCTTATGTTTTACATAAATTTTTTTTTTTTTTTGCTGAAAAGAACATGATTTAGTTTTCTATATCCAAGTTCTTAACTAAAAACTTGTGGAAAAATTCAAAAATTCATTGATTCTAAACTTAAAACTTTTCTTATAATTTTTTTTTCAAAAAATTATCTAAAAAACACTTATAATCTTTAGATTATATATATATATATATATATATATATATATATATATATATATATATATATATATATATATATATATATATATATATATATATATATATAATCAAACTATATCATTTAAAAATTAAAAGAATTAATTATATCAATTTTTTTAATTATAAATAATAATATTCTAAAAATTCATTAAAAATTTTATATACAGATTTCTCTCTCCTCTTAATGGCTATGGACCAAATTACAATACAAAAAAGTTATGGACCAAAGTAAAATTTGTTAAAAAAAATGAGGGATGAACAACATGAGCAAAACTTTACTTATAAAATGCTTGAAAAAACCTCAAAATTACTAAAAGAAAAAACATTCAATGCACACACACAAAAAAAAGGGTGAATAGTGTTTTGAGCGAAATAAATGCATAAAAAAAAACACTTAAAATAATAAAAATACCATTACCTTAAAATCACAAAAATACCATCAAGTGAATAGTATTATGTGAGTGTTGGAATAGTATAAGAATAGTGAAAATCCCATCTCTTTTAGGATTCTTTACTAATTAGCTTTGTGCGCTATGTAGCAAACCAAATTAAAAATATTTATTTCAATTTGATAATATGTATTATGCTGTTAGTCAACAAAAATTTATTGAATTAGAGATAAAATTTTATTTAATTTTATAATTTTTAATCAAAATCTTACATCTACTTTTTTTTATTTTTTAATAATTTTTATAGTTAAAAAAAGATTTATTCTTTTTTATGTATTTGTTCTTAAATAAAAATTCATAATAGTCTAAATATAAAATTAAAAAAATATTTTTCATAACATTGTATCGAAGAAATAAATCAACATAAAAACTCGAATAAAATTTAACAAATAATTTTTTTAATTATTTTTTAATACTAATGAGAAGAATATTTTTTTGAAAGCACACACACACACACAAAATAATGAATAATATTAGTATAAAAAATTTGTATTTGAATTATTAAGTGGTTCTTCTAAAATATTATTTTAATTATTTTATTTAAAAAATAATTTTAAAATATAAAAAATAATAGCACTTGGTTGGTGTTATAAGTGTAGATACATAGTTAATTTTTAATAAAATCAATAATTCTAATATATATATATATATATATCATCGTACTTATTAGGTTAGAGTATGCAACATAAACTGATTTTTTTTTAAAAAAAAATTAAGTTGTAAAAAATATAATGAAGTTAGTATGGTACAATAAAAAAATAAAAAAATTGATTTCAAAAAAATTTGATTATTTAAAACATAAGTAAATAAAACTCGTAAATTCTATTTTTAAAATTAGA